AAAAAAATTAAAATGTTTATTTTTTAAATCATTTTTTTAAACTGAATAAATACTTAATATAATATTACCTATAGTAAATGTATAGTGTATTGATAGCGCCTGTTGTAGTGCATTGTGATTGTGATAATTGATAAGAATTTAAATAATAAAACGAATAGACACAAATTAATTCCAATCATTGAATGCATTTTACTATGGGGTTATCAGGAAATTCCTTTAAGGGACGCTCTCCACAGAAAATTCCTAGCTACGGTTCTGTAATAACTACTCGTAGATATATTGTGTTATAAGCTATTTTCAGTTCAATGCCTACTACACTTCTTGATTTTCTGTATTATTTTTATCTAACGTTAGACTCATTACGTCTTAGCTTTATTTCATGTTCGTCACTTTTTGAATTAAGTATATTATTAAAATAACTGTACCAATAATTTTAGAATACATTTAAAAAAACTTCAATTTACCTATCAAATTATTTAGGTAATTCATCTTTACATAGTATCTATACATGTATTTATAGACTAATACTTTAATTGAAGATCCTACAATTATTATTTTTATATTTTGAATTCAACAGCCAACACTGATTTTTACAGCTAAATATACTTCTGATAATTTAAWATACATATATAGTAAAATACGTTTTAACGCATATTAGTTAGTCACGAGTCACCTATGTAATATTTAGAATATTTAGATGCATAAAATAAACTTAAACATTTAAGATTAAACATGTTTTATGTTACATATTGTTACATCYATTTTAAATATAATAATATTTATACWAACAATTTTCAATAACCCTAAATAATTGTTATGAAACTTTATGATACTAAAGTCATACATTGAAGATACCTATCAGATAAAGTGGATAGATCCACTCAATAATCTATAGTCAAAAATGTTTAGTTTTTATGAATTTTGTAAAAAGTAATAGTTAGAACAATACCAAACACTATAATAATTAGTAGTTGATATTATATAGATCGGTAGGTAGGTAGTTAAAATCAGAATCACTTCAAAAAAACATATTACCTATGTCAGCAACTAGTTTTTAGTTTACTTTCTTATGGTTGTACTTCAAAAATTGTAAATAACAATAATAAAAATGTGAACGTTCACTTTACCATAGGAACCTTGCTAGAAAATATCAATGGAGAAAATAAAAAATTAATATCCACGTATAATGGTTTTTTTTAAACTTGCTTTTGAAGACCTAATTACACAATAAATTAAATACTATATAATTGTTATTGCTTTGGTCTTGAATTTAATATTATACATGGTAAAAATAACGATCGATGACTCGTAGTGAATTTATTAGGTGCCTATAAATACTTCGATAATTATTATGAGAAACACGATCCGCCTTCATAAGGTTATATATATCTATTATACCAATACCTACAGGCTACGGGAAAATTATTTATCTGAGTAAATTCAGTAAATACCTACAACATATTTCACCCAAAAAACTGTTGTCTAAGCACACCATCACCGTAATAGTTTATGCACTGACGACTGACAATTATATCCAAATCTAACCTACAATTTTCTTAATAAATATGGAATCCTTGAAATCTATCTCCTCGTGAATCTTCTATTTGTTAAAGATAGAGGTTTTGATAGAAGTGTTATATTAACAAGCATCTCATCTGTGCGCCCTTGTACTGAATTTCATAACAATATATTAGTACTATATAGTCCTTACATATTTCTATGAAACAAACCCCTTTACATAAATGTCAAATATACGAAAAACGTGAAATCCGTAATATCGTGTTACATGACATATAAACATGCTGAGTTTTATTTGTCATTTATGTAGATTGTAAGTACGTAATAATTTATTTACGTAATACATTATATTATGCAGTTATATCATCATTTTATTATTCATATAAAATTTTACTTTTATGTGTAGACTATATAGATTTTTATTAARWAGGTATTTACATCTTTAAATTACGTTAGATATTGCAGATAAATACCGCTATAGATTGGTATAGATGAGTTTTAAATCGTCTAAATCAAAATTTACCTATTTATACAATTGTTGAARCGTTATGTTTTGAAAAAATTAACACGAAAATTACTTAAAAACAAATTTCATTATAAATGCCTATAATTATAGCCTTACAGATAAATAGTAGATACAAAAATTGAACGAAAATCTTATTTGATTCCACATGTATATATATTATGCAAATGCATGAAATAATATCATTTGCTCTAATACAGAAGGCTATGCTTGAAACTTTAAAATAGATCGTAAATTCTTTTGGATGGATTATAATAATATGTTATAAGTGAATAATTCACGAATATAGCCTATARCGGCATAACTTATTGTTATAAAGCTATTACCTATTTAAATAATGTACGGTAAGACACTAATACATGTAATTTGTACTAATTAAAATGTCCATGAAATGTMATCCAAAAATAATAAAATTAATATCAATTATTCTTATACWTACCGTGATATAGTTTAGAGGCACCAGTTGTAAATTGTAATTAACTATTTTTGATTGACAATAAGTAAACGGAGTTAGGAAACGGGTCCAATCTTAACTACTGTGTTGTATACAAATAATAATTATCAAAACAAAATAAAATATATTTTTATACATTTTAAACATCATAGGTACCCAATTCTACGGCATAGGCATACTTATACAAATTTACATTGAAAAAAAATTAACAATAACCATCCATTTTAGTCATTCTAAAAACAATTTATTATTCCTCTAAAATCTAAAAAACTCATTAATATATTTTAAAATTATAACTTTTTTTTATTCTTATTAGTTACAGTCTTATTGAAGAAAAAATGTAAATATAATTAATTCGCATTAAATATCAAATTTTATACAATACGCGTAATGGTATAGGCTTTTCATTTATCTGAAATTCGATAACATATATATGACCCTGGGATGTAACGTCTTTAGTAAAAGTAAAATTGGAAAGACCCCACCACGTGTTGTAATAAAACTGCTTTATTTTTCTTGGGGAACTTCACGTATCACGTCTGCATAAGACGCTTACCGTCCTTGACCCGGGCCTCAGGAATTTAGTTGTTTTTAGTAATAATATATGTATTAGTACATCAATACCTAAGGGTATTGCAAATTGATATACACATATTATTATTGTATATATTTATTAGCAATCAAATATTAATTTAAGAATAATTATTATAAAGCGGAATTTATTGCTAAAAGAAAATACGATAATTATATAATATTCTATCTGCTTAACCTAAATATTGAATATCGAATATGATATTTATTTGCAGTGAATATTTGTTTTGTTTTAATATCGTTTTTAACAATTACTATCATAGAGATTTTAATAATTTGATATTACACTTAGAATTATATAGATCACGTAAATTAGGTCTTGAATATTTAAAATAAAAAATATGCATAGCAATAGTTAATACCTATATGGAAATTAAATTTGTTTAACATTAACTTCAAAGATAAGATAACAATGACACCAATGATGATTAGCTAAAAATGGCAATGTGGAACGATGGATAACAACAGTATGAAGCAAGTGTCTGGGAGAAAGTGGTCAGAACCTTTCCTATACCTATAAGATTATTACACTGCTGTAATTTTGTATGATCTAGATAATAGCTGCAGAGGCTGTACWATGAATTAAACGTGATGCAATTAGGTCCATTCGTTAATCGTTAAGAACATTAACATGAAACTGTATTTCAAATAAATAATTATTATTTTCGTATGATGAGTATTATAATATATTATTATTACCTAAATGTGTAAAATCKATATTTATTTTTATTATATAATCTCGGCAGTCTGAAAAAWTATTGCCTTGTTATTTTTTTATAGATACCTAGGTATAATGTTCAATAATTTATTAAGTTCCTTCTTTTTGTTTACATTTTGACACATTTTATGATGTGCAGAAATACATAATATGTGAGTCATTGAGTATTAAAAAATGCTTAATTTTTTTTTTTTTTGTAAGGGGAACCCGCGGCAACATAGGCTAAATATTATTAAATGTATTTTTATTTTTTTAACCTTAAATCGTTGTTAATTCCGTAAGAGTTTTTTTTAATCATGCACACCCTTATCGTTCGTAAATCTCGTTATTTACGTTATAGGTTCTATTATAGGAACCAATCCAATAAACTYTTGCAATTTGATTCACTACATCAACYCAGTCCCTGTATTTTCTACATACAAAGAAACAGAAATATAATTTCTTCCATTATTATTTTTTACTTTTATTTTAAAAATATTACCTTCAACACTCACTTAAATTAGACTGACTAGAAGGCCATAAAATTAAAAAAGTATATATGTCCTTTCATCATTATGTCATTCGTAAAAATCACCCCAGGTAGTCTAGTATTGAGAATCTCTTGCAGGTATTGATAATTCAAAAACCGATTATAGCTTTCATAGTTTCATCAATCATAGGTACAAGTTTAGAAAATAAATTGACAATCTCAACATCTTTAAAGATCATGTTGTTGAATGGCCGATTATAATACATAATATTTTCATATAGTCATTTCGTCTGTAAGAAATCAATATGATTTATATACAAATAGTTTCATTAAGATATAACAAACGTATGGATGTTGTTTAAAAAACGAATAAAAATAATTATTAGAAACTTAAAATAATAAATAGATTATAAATAACAGTTTATTAAAATTTGTAAAAGCCATAGTTGAAATATAAAGGGTAAAAGTAAAAGAGTAAAACACTTTGAATATTTTCAAAATYAAAAAATAAATATATAAATCGGATTGGTGGATTCAATCATTATGATTGATTCCCTCAATACAGTTCATGTTATTATTCCACACATAATTATTGATAACTACACAACAATTAAACTGTGGAAATTTTACAATGTACTAGATGATTTTATCACGTTTTACCAATACTTATATTATATTATTATATTATATTATACAATTAAAAATAATTTTGTTTAATTGATTTCAGAGAAAACATGGAAAAAGTTAATATTCATTTTAATAACAACGGCACAGTGACGTACCAACACAAAAAAATTTTAGAATTTATGCCACATCTTTCAGTTATCAAAAATGATGATGTCAAATTAACCGTTCCAAATATTCCCTTACTAGTAAGTATTGACAGTTTATAAATTTAACTGATTTAATATTCATAAATATTTATTTTATAATTTTAGACATTGACTACACAAGCAAATAGTTTACCATCAATATTAAAAAGTTCACTTTCGGCAATTTTAAGGTTTTCTGGCTTAACTCCATTTAAACATGTTACTCCACAACAATTAGTTTTTGGTTATGACGATCCATTAACTTCTCTAGCAAACACGTATTATCCAAAAGGAAAAAGACCACCCAAAAAAATGGGACTTTTCTTGATGGTATGTTTGTAATTCATTTTGTTTCTATTAATTTAATTTGGACCGATTAATATTATATGAATACAATTTTAGCGAAATGGAACACTAGATGAAGTTTCCACAATATATACGGGTCATAACGGAATGGAAAATTTTGGACTTCTCGATCGTATAAATGGAATGGAAGAGTTACCATTTTGGAAAGGATCTTGTAATTCTATTAGAGCATCGGAAGGTAAATACACAATACATAAAATACTTTGATTCTATAAATTAGTATTTTTTTTTTTAACTATAGAATAGTATACTGTAGATTTATATCATGAAAATATATAAATGTTTATTTTCAGCTGATTTACAATATGAGTAATCTTGTAGGATAAAGTTAAGACTTAAAATCGATTTATCATGATACTATTATAACTAAAATTAAAATAATAAATAAGTTAGGTAAACGCAGGTAAATAGGAACGCATAATATTAATCTATTTTGGATTCAAAATTTGAAAAAATATGATTGAGAATCGAAGGATATTAATCTAGGTGTATAATCTAATAATAAACAATGCATAATATATACATATACTATATTACATTGAATTAACCGTTAAATTTGATTTTGAAAAAATGTATCAGTTTCAAATTATAATTATATTAGGTATATAGGTATTAAGTATAATTTGTATTTATAACTTATATACAAATATAATATTATATATTAGGTAAAAATTCATACTCGTAAATATATCATTAATATTAAAGATAATTTTTTTTATGTGTTAACTGAAAGATATATTGTAAAGATCATATTGTGATCATCATTTATTTTGTATGTGATTAATAACACGTGCGTTTGATGGTAAAAGTGGTAGTAAGGTAGTTAAAAATAGTATTATCTCATCATCTCCCCAGTCGTCCTAAACCTTCGAACAGATCTAGCGTCTAATCAGTTTCAACATGAATATTTATATTATCTATGATGGCTATCCTGTCGATGATGTCTAACCGCGATTATGAATTAAGAAATTTAGTATGTTAGGTTTTTAAAATTTATTTACAGGCTCGAACCAAACTCAATTCAACTTTCATATTTTTTATAATGCGTTTTTAATTTAACTCGTAAATCGTAATATTATTGCTAATATTTAATTGCTTTTACATTTACTAAGCATATCATAAAAAAGTGATTTTATTTAGTCATCTTAATCTTATTATATGAGGCCCTTAATCTGTTTATATAAGTCACACATTTACATAATTAAAAACAATTTTTTTTTTTATTTGAAAGAAGCTTCAACAACTGAGGAAGCCTTGCAGTGTAGATACTACATTGTGAATGTTACATTAATGATTGCATTTTTTACATTAATTCACTATCATAAAAATCGATGAAAATTTCATGTATTTATGTGCCTAAAACTATACTATATGTACTTATTAAAAGTGATATGTTATATGTCCCAATAATTAACTTTATCATTGTGAATCCGAATCTATCAATAAGTAATAGTATACATATATACCACAAAATAATATCTACTTTAAAATTTAAATAACATAAAATATACCACTTCAACACTTTCATAATTGAGACATCGGAACAATATATTAAGTACAAACGATTACAAACATCAGTAAATAACAAATGTACAACTATTTATTCAGGAATTGGTTGGGGGTATTTAGATTATTGTTTTTGTCTAATAATTAAAAAACCATCATTGTTTATTATTTTTATGTCTACAATAATATAATATAATTTTATTCTAGGTTCGTTTTTCCCTCCGAGAGAATATACAAAGTCTGATTTAGTACATGTGTATGACAAAGATTTGTGCCGAGTATGGGCACTTCGATACCGAAAAGACGTGGTCAAAGATGGTATTACAGCAGGATACTATACACCTGATGACAACCTTCTCGAAACTGTTGATAAAAATCCTGATAATGCATGTTTTTGCGAAGACAACACCGAATGTACCGTTAAAGGGTTGCAGTACATTGGACCTTGTCAATTTAGTAAGTGAATCCACAGAATATTACTTATTAAATAAATAATATCTTAAAATAGTAATAATTATAATAAATTATATATAAAATTGTAAATACAAATTAGTTTAATTGTTGATATTTATAGATGCTCCAGTTTACTTATCTTTTCCTCATTTCTACAAAGCTGATCCGAAACTCTTAGAAGATGTAGAGGGTCTTTCACCAGATCAAGAAAAGCATGAAACATTTTTAAAAATTCAACCTGTAAGCACCATAATATTTATAAATTACAATTATATTAACTATTCTGCCTGCATATAAATCTTTAAAAAATATATAAAAATTAATTTTAATAGCTAAAAAAATTATGAAAATAAAAGTTATTTTTTAAAGTTTAAAATTTAGGCTGTTAATCAAAAATATAAGAAAAACATGTACAAACTACCTAATGGTAATAATATAATTCTTGGTTAATTCCAGAGCCAATAACCTAGTTGGTTCCACTCCTTCAAAGTTCTTAGTTAAGTCTGGAATTGAAAATAAATTCAATATCAATTGGTAAACTCCAAATAAAAATAGGTATGTCTAAGCCAGGGATCTCAAACCTTTTTACTACGAACTAATTTTGTGATACACTTCTGCATCATGTGCTAAATTTTTTTAAAGAGAGATAGAGAAGTAATAAAATTGTAGATATATAAAATTGTTTTTAGTAATCAATAAATTAAAAACAATAAAAACTAATATAATATTATCAAAATACCTATCAATTAGCTCGATGTCCCCAAACCAACCCGTGAGTCGTAGGTTTAAGATGGTCTAGACTATTAAAATATTTTCAATATTTTCTTAATAAAATCCATAGCTCAAAAATAAAAATCATATAAAAGTCCGATTAGGTTTCAAACTATAAACAAACAATTTAATTAATGATTATTAATAATTTATAATTAGCCATTACCTATTTAGTAATATTTCTAGTTTTCATTACAAATTTATTATGGATTACCTATWCAACATTATATTATATTGATTATAGAGACTGGGAGTACCATTGGAAGCCCGTGTGAAGGTCCAGCTCAATTTAAAAGTTGAACAATCCAATATTTACCCGACGTCCAACTTCAGAAGCATTACATTTCCAATTATGTGGCTTGAAGAGGTAAATACAAATAATAACAACATTCAAAACGAATTGAATTTCTTTTCAATGCAAATAGAACTTGCAGTTTGATTATAATTTATAATACAATAATAATTAACAATTAGGGCGTGAGCGACTTGCCGGAAAACATTCATCGGTGGATATACATGGCCACTACATTCGTAGACACAGCTGTGCCGTTGTTCACGTACGGGCTTATCCTCGGCGGTGCATTAATACTGGTTGCAGTGTTTGTCCGCACATATCACCAAATTGTATTTTCGCGAGAAAACATCGAACGTGGCAGACGAAATATCCTGCGACGGGGCAGCAGTATGCTTGTCAATGGCCAACATCGGTTACTGATAGTTCGTGAATCGTACCATCGGATAAGCAACAGCATACAAGAAACGGACGTGGACGCACAACAGCTTCTATCGTGAACTAAAGACTATAAATTTATATTTTAACGTACCTATATAATGATTTTGAAATTTGGAAACTTCTACCATCACCTTTTCGTACAAGATACGCGAGTGATATGCTAATAAACTATTGTGTAGTCTAAACTGTGATATAGATAACGAAAAAATGCACAAATGTTTAATATGTTCATGTAGACCTCAGAACAAACAAATTCTCAAATTGGACTGTGATACAAATTTTATAGATGAAGACATTTTTTTTTTGTGTGTATATATACATATATATATATATATATATAGTATAAAATAAGATAAAAGAAAATAATCAAACATAATATTATATGCCTTGCTTTTGGGGCAGAATTAAATATTGAAAGTTTTGAGCTCATATATAAATTTAATTGAAATAATCTTCAATTTAATTAAAATTTGGATTGAAATATTCTTTAGCTGTATACCAACCGTGATATAATTGTTTCTTTTATTCATTTAAGAATAAACAAACTATTGATTTAAATTAAATCTATGAAATTGAGGTGCTCTTATTCTACAATTCTGATTATATAATACTATAAATTAATACATTTTTATGAAATTAAAATAATTTTATATTCATTAATAAAGTAAAGCCAAAAATCTAAATATCTAATGATAGATAAATAGACTTAATTATTACTATCACAATAGTATTATGACTGGATAAAGAATTTAATGTTGATTACCAATTTAGTATACCTAATATTAATATGTAAATAATATAAATACATGATCTTTTGTTTCTGACAAAGTTTAAAATTAATAGGGCATTTATTACTTAGTTTTTTCATTGTTGTTATTAATACATCTATTTATGTTAAGAAAAAAATATTTTTTATTATTTTCTACGTGCACACTCATTTGCTCAATCCAAAAATCAAACATCGGCAACAATTTMATCGTTACCATATTATTATGTACATTCATTATTATGAAGAATRTGTTACTTTTTAATTTAACATAAGATTCAACTTGTGTTTTTACTATTATTATTTATTAAAACAGAAAATATGTACAGTGTATAATAAATTAATTTCATATTAATTTTAACTCATTTTTATGTCTAGAAAAATATGTATCAAATAATTTATAATAATTTGGGCAGGTGCATTGAGAAAATTGATCGTATGACATGATGTCATGACCTATGAATAAATTAAATGTCGGAATTATTTTACTATTGTTTTTGTCAGGATATAATATATATTATTCAAAAATATTTTGTACTTTATAACATTTTTAATAAATCTTTTTTAAATAGCTTGAGTATTATTTATTACATAGTTTAATGAAAACTTAAATGCGTTAAGGATTATTCATAAATATCTAATGAAAAAAGCACAGCGATTTTGGGTATTGGCTACTATAGTCTAGTCACGATCTTCTCACCTTAGTGCAAAATACTTAACTTGCTTGTCTAACTAGTAGAGGGTGTGATTAGAGACAAAGAATGGCGCTTTAAGAAGTTTTCAAAGATGACTTATKTTTTTCTTGAGCTTTCTACTTAGTCTATAGAATAATGAAGATGATAATGTTTTCTGACTATTAAAAAAAACTAGATAAGTACCCAATGATTTTCTTGTGCGTTATAACAACAAAAATAATATGTATATAACAAAGTATGTTAACCTTTTCAGTGTTAAATTATTTTTTACCACTAATTCGGTTTTTATTTTAAAATTTAGTAAGATGCTATTATAATTATCAAGATTAAAACTATTTATACCAAAAGCCACTTACATAGATAATGATGACGATAGACGCGGTTAATTGATACAATTGCGTTATTGAAACAAAATKTCTAGGGATGAATCGGCCATATATTAAAACATTGAAAATCAATTGAATTATTGTAACAACACATAGCCACATAGGTTATTTGAAACAATTACGGCGAAGGTCGTCGAAGAATTCTAGTTATTTGGTGATAACCAATGTAGGTTCTGTAATAATAAAGCCTCCCCGAAAAACCAGTTGATCTATTKGCAGAAGTGTATAAAAGATTGGTTCGATGTGGACAATATTTCAACTTGGTCCAAAAGTGTTTCTAATAAGCGGTTTTTATTGTATTTGTGCAAACTCACTACAGAAATCTTGATTCTTGGTTTTAAGTGAAAACTACAAAATAGGAAGTAGAAAAGAGATATTATTTTTTTACATTTTCTTAAGGAAATTATCTTCAATACAAAGAAGAAGAAACAAAATTAAAATACAACTTGAAGTTTTGAAAATGTTAAAATTTATCTAAACTTTGTATTGTTTTTTGTTGAATCCATTTTAATGTACACCTACAATTTTATATATACAATAATTATACTTTCTACCTTGCATTCTTTAAGTAGATAACTGAAATTTCTTTCCCCCCGCCAAATACAACTTTCTGACTTTCAACAAAATGTACCTATTTATTAAATGCACAATACTAATTTAAAAATAAATAATTAATAGGTTTCTAATTTTTTCAATATTTATAATTTATGAATTATAATAAATTATAATAGTACAATTTATAATATGTGACGACCTTAGATTAACCTTAAATTGATTTAAAATTTTAAAAATTAATAATTTGTTTTATAACTTTTTAAATATTTATAATTTCAGAATCGTAATAAATAATAATAATAGGTAATACGATTAATAATGTGTGACAACCTTAGATTAATTTAAAAAAAAAAAATTGTTTTGTAGTTTTATATAAATTTGAAATGTCTAAATTATAAATTGTAATAAGAATAACTACCTATTAATAGATATAATTCATAATACTAAAATGACGTATCACCATTCACCAATGAAAAAAAAAGTGAGCCCCCCCCCGGAAAAATGGTCTTGATTCAACACTGATAACTGTAACATTATAACGAACATAATAAAGACATTGCAAATTAGATTGGTAGGTATTCAAAGAATAAAAATTCATTTAAAAATATGAATCCTTAAATTAAAATAGTTTACAAATTATAAACTAAACGCCAGTCACAGTGCATAGTGAGAAGTGACTTTATAAATAACAATAAAGCAGTATGTAAAATTTATTCTGAAACCTGAAAAAATATCAAAAATTACGCTTTTGTAAGCAAAGTTTTTAATCATATTTCATTAATAATTGTGTGTTCAGGAAACGAATATCGAAAGTACTAAAAATAAATAATGTTATATTGTTATGATATTTCAAATTATCCAATTGGTCGATTATACGATTTAAATCATTTAAATATTTCATATACCATTTTGTTATAATTTATAAGACATCAAAAATAAAATACATGTTTATAATATAGGTTAAACAATATAATACCTAAAATAAATTACACAATAATATGAGTCATAATATGACCAATATAGATATATGTGTATATTATACAATTTATTGTTATAACATCAAAACATAAAATGATTAAAAGGTAAATAAATTCATGTCTAATGCTAAGTTCGAMATRTTTTGAAACAAATACGAAAAACTTATGTCTCAAACATATTATATTATAATATTATGTTGTCCATGGACTATACCAGCAATTTCCAACCGGGGTGGGAGGGAATTTAGAGTCTGCTCAGTGATGGGGGGGGGATATAATGATGAAGACATTACTAAAATAATTATATTATTCTAAAGTGTGTAAAATTGAAATCACTATATTCATTTTCAGATTACCGCGCATCGATAACAATATCATATATATTATAATTATAACGATAGACCAATTACACCTAACAATAATAAATACAATATACAAAGTTTGATTCGCACGACTTACGGCTATTTTTTGCCTCTGATAACGGATACTAGAATCCAGGTACGAGCATGCGTTGAAATGCTAATAAAATTGCTTGAATGTTGAAAATGATGTGTTGCACGTTGTTAAAAAATTATCCCCACGGATTATGGACTTGTAAGAAAAAAACAATCTCAAATTTCTCATTAAATTAATTTATGTTAT